ATGATGCACTTTTATCATTCTTGTTGTTTAGCTTAAAACTCATGTACCTACTTCTATTACATTTGTTTCTCATTTATAATAACTCTTTATTTGGTTCTATATGTTTATCAGTTTTATCTTCAAATTATTTTTTGAAAGTCAGTCATGATTTTTTTCCCCGAGGAGCTTTTGAATTCTATTTCTCATTGATTTTTTTTTTATTTATTTGTTCCATCAATTTGCACTGATGAGAAGTCCTCATGAGGGTTTATTGAAGTGGGTATTCCTGCACTTTGATGGCTCTTTAATTGCATCATAATTATCGAAATCAGGTTCTTGAATTACATGTCCTATTCTTTTGTAATTTTCCTTTATGAAATGAATTAATTGCAACTATTTGAGCATAAAATTAGCAAACTATAGAGATATGAATTTTAATATCAAAGGTGTTATAGATTATCATTTAGTTAAGGTAAGCAAATTGATAAATTGGAATTTCAATGAAGAAAAGAGTTCACAACAGAGGATGGTAGTAATATGGCGAAGCCTTGACGCCAATGAGCTCTTCAACCTTCTTCGTTGGTCGGTTCTTTGCTGCTTTCTTTATTGATCCTCTTCCTCGTGACTTTAATTTCTCCAATTTTGAGTCTCGCGAGTATGAAACACTTCAATAATCCACATATTTAGGTAATACACAGAGGTAAGTTACCTATTACAAAATTTTGGATATAATTTATTTTAAGGATTGTTTACAAGCTTTATTTGTGTGTATTATATGGTATAGAATATTTTCTAATGAGTCTTCCTGTATAAGTATAGGAAGCTTTGTTGGATGATCGAATAGCCAACAATTAGAAACTATAGAGAAGATACCAATGAAAATGATTTCGTTTTATGTTATCTATATTTAAAAAAATGATTTCATCTTTAAAATATTATCTCACTGCCAAAGGAAAAGAGAAAAAATATTAACATGGGTGCATTTTTAAGAATATAATGCAGTAACCCATGAACCAGCTTTATTCATGCTTCTAAACTTAATTGAAGTTTGTCATTATTATGTTTAAGGGGTAACAATTATTAAAACTTTTGGTACATTTTAGAGACTCCAATCTAGAGATGCCCTTTGATGTGAGACTCATACTTCCACAAATATGACACAATTTTTTATTTCATGAGTTAGTAGTACGGTCTGCTTACATTTTATCCTTCTCATTCACGGGATATTTTGTTGGCCTCCTCTTCTTTCGAAGAATCTGGAGGAATTGAATTCATGTGTACTGTAGACAGATATTTTGTCATTATTTAATTCAAGAAGTGAAATTGTTGGTGTGCTCAAATACACATGTCCAATCAAATACATGTATCGATAGTATAGGTGCAAATGATCTTTACTTCTTAAGCAGTTTCTTGCCTATTTCTTTTTTCATCGAATTGAATTCTTAATTATAAGCAAAATTGTATATCTTGATTCATTTTTATGATGGGAGTTGCATATTTCTGAGAATTTCTTTTCTGAGAAGCACTGAGTTCATGAAAATATAATTTGGTTACTTTAGAGGTGATATTTGAATTAATTTAATTTAGTTACTTCAGAGTTAATATTTTAATTGTCGTAGTAGTAGTATTTGTAGCTATATCACATCTATGTAAGTAAATAAATCAACAGACTCCGCGCTAAAATAAGAAAGTTGCTTCAAAAAAAAATTATTGAAAAAACTTTAGTATGAATGAGACATAATTGACCTCAAATAATTTGAGGTACTTGATCAATTTTGATGTATATCTGTTAGTAATTGATTTATAAATAGTTATATGAAAATGTAATTAGTACTCCCATATGTATAATGTTCAATTTATAATAGTTAGTATACAAATGTAATTAGTATTCCCATATGTATAATATTCAATTTATAAATAGTTATATACAAATGTAATTAGTACTCCCATATGTATAATGTTCAACTACATAAATATTTCACTTTAAAAACAACATTCAATAGAATGACATTCACAAAATATATAGATAACACGTTTGACTGCTATATTATGTCCAAGATAATTTATTTATTTTATATAATGGTGTTTGTATGTGATTGTCTCATTTATATTAATCAATTTTAGATCACGAATAAGACCACACGTTGGGCCCGTGCTTAGCACGAGCAATACTTATCTAGTTAAATTAAATAAATTAGAAAAAGAAAAGTAGACCCCCTTTAATTTTATTTTACTGTAATTATAAACAAAAAGTTTCTATACATGAAACTGAAATATGTTACTGATAAGGTTAACATGCATCCATGCATATTAGAAATAATAAAAATAAAAATGGGGCATTAAGCGTCGAGAGATTTAATATCCTTGTAACTTTCTTATGTATGACGTAAAGCCATCGTAACTAATTGAAATGACTTTAAATTGAAATGGTGTGTTCATACGAGACTTCCTGATGACTGAGGTGCAGATTAAGGATGGCAATAGGGTGGGGCGAATGCGTGGCTGAGTGGGTGGAGTTATGGACTTATGGTTATGAGGGGTGGGTCAGGTTTGAGGCTGTGCAGGGCGGGGAGGAATGTTGGGCAAGTTGAAGTGATTTTTTAAAATTTAATGCGGGATGGAGCAGGTTGCGAGTCTATGCTGTTTTATGTGGGTTCATACTTAATTTTAATTTTTTTATGTTATAAGAGAGGTAAAACATTATCTATTAAGATAGTTTCTTTAAAGTTGCTAAAATATTCAAGATGGTAAATGAAAATGGTTCAGTCAAAACTCATATAATTTCTTACATATTTCCCAATTGACCTCTAAAAATTAAAATTTTAAGTCATTATCTATTAAATAATGAATATATTTTTATGAATTTTATTTTTAGCATCAAACTTTCATAGAAAAGGAAAATATTAATAAATAAGATTAACTTCTCTCCACTGACAGTGGACAAGAAAATTGCACCGTCAGTTATTAAACTACGGTGTACTTTTTATAGAAACTTCATTTTACCCCAAGAGTTTATGAATATTTGAGCTGATTACTGATCCGGTGGTAGAAAATCTTTGTTTCTGAACTGTATGTTAGAATTATACTTGTATGTTAGAATAACAAGTTCTTGTACAGTACAGTACTCTATAGTATTATATGTATTTGTAAACTAGGAAGAATTATACTTTAAATTACTGTTCACATGCATGACATAGACCACTACATCTGCATGCTTTGAGTATTTCTTAATGGAAAAATTATCTAATTACACAATCTTTCTTTCCATCTATTCTCTAAAACTCCCTATTATTTCAAAATATTACAAAAATCTCTATTTTCCTTTCTTTCTCCTTTTCCAGATACACAACTCACAACCCTCCAATGCCTAGCGCTTTTTGTTTCTATTTTCACACCTGAAATCACTCCCATAGATCAGCATTTACCTTCATCACTTTATATTTGAATTTCAAATCTATTCTCTCTCCAGCTCATCGATTTCTAGTTCCTAAAGAGGTAGAACTATTTCTTCATCATTATTTTCTTTCCAGTTCTTGAATTATCGTTTTAAAAAAAAATCTTTTCATCTACAAGTTTCTGATACATATGGATTTTGATGATATAAACTTTCATGAAAATAGATATAAACAACGAAACGACTCATTAATCATGAAAAATTTGAGAGCAAAAAAGTCGAAAAATGATGCATGCTCGAGCTCTAAATCTACTGTTGGAAAAACCCAAAAAAGGGAAAAGTTGGACCTGCACGACCATCACTATCAAACTTGCAGATTTTCGATGCATCTCAATTATTTTGATACATAATAGTGAAAATGTTGACTACTTTATTATGTATCAAATTATGATATATATTATCTTTTTAATTCTTATATTTCAACTTTTTTGATACACTAGTCTTTGGGAACGTGCATTACAAGTTTGTCCCTTACCATTATTATAGAATTTTTATATATTTAAAAAGTTGAGTTATAAAATAGATAGTGTTGAAATACACAATATGGATTTTACTCATCAATAAAATTCATACAAGCAGGACAATGTATTTCCATAAAAATATATGAAACTACTTAAGAAAATATAGCCTCTAATGATATGAATGTTGATAAATCTTTGCTTGAAAAAAATTATAAATGCATGTAGATTGCCTTTAACGAAATTTGCAAAAACATGAAGAAGATTATTCAAGTTTTTAATGTTAATGATTTAATATCATTTATTATAATCTATTCAATTTAGAATGAATTGTATTAGTCTTCCACTAACTATTGCATAGATAGATGACATAGGGATAACAAAAAAAAAATACACTACTTTAACATCTGATTATTTCTCGGGCCTAAACCCATTTAACCTTATTACTATCTTGTTAGAATTTAGGACAGATGGAAGATGGGCCTAAGGCTCGAAGAAGTAAATTTCGAGATTTAGTCTAGGACAGGTACAAAAAAT